AAAAATTGTTCAATACATTTACTTCCTTGAATTATAAAAGAAATAAAATTAACATGTATTTTAAAATAAAAGTATTATATTGATTATGTAATATTTCTAGACTGTGCTCTTGACTTATTTTATTCAAGTTATTGCCAGTTCTCTATGAGAAGGGGGGGGGGGGTTACAGTCATCATTGCAGGTTGGGAGGGTGCTGCAGGTGGTTGGTAGTTCCTCATAGACTTCTATTCAATCAAACTTCTGTTGTCTTTGTGACTCTGTCCAAATTGCGTCGATTCGGACTTAACACCCTCAAACTTTCAAACATCTATCGCCGTGTTATATATATATATACTCCTTTTCTTTGAATGTCACTCAATAATCTTTAAGGGTGGTTGGATGATGCTACTGGTAGGTTTTACTTCTTAACTTTCCCTTTGTCATGTCTGTCTGTCTGTCTGTCTGTCTGCCTGTCTGTGTTTTGTCTTTTCTCTTCTCACTATTAAATGGCCATGAATAATAATGTCGATGTTTTTCTCTTTCCTCAAGAAACGAACAAATCTCTTCTTTCACCCTGTTGTCTCTGTCTAAATTGTGCCATTTTTTACCTAAACGTTTCCATTGAGTGATTGGCGGATGTGTCAACCCCTCCCTCCCCCCCCCCCCCCCCACGGGGCGGTGCCACTGACTGTAGTGTCTTTCTAAGGCCATTCCCAAAGGGGGGGACATTTCTCGTTCATGCACAGTAGAATTGTAAATGGGCTGATTCATTATGTCACGCTCATAACTGCCTGATCTACAACAGGGAACTACTGCTTTTTCTTTCCTAATCCTTACTAGTGTCATTTTCCTCTACTTCTTTTGTATGTTTGTCACTCTCTTGTGACCTGCTATTTCCGGAGTGCCTTGATAGTCGAAGCAGACCTTGTGCTGTTGAAGCTAGACAGGTGAGCAGAATAAGTCTGATTCTCTGTAAAGACTCCTCTGTTGACACCCACCCCTTTGCGCTCATATAGTTACGAGCGCTGTAAAACCCTCTACTATAAAAGAAAAGATGTCAAACATAATACTGTCCTTATCTTTTCTCCTTTTGTGCGTTTTTACACTCTCGTGTGTAACGCCTCTAATCTTCGGCTCTAATTTGACCTTATTGTGTTGCAAGCGCGGGTTCTCTGGTGTGGTGTGTATGCTCCTTCTTTTCCTTCATTTGCTATGCTATCAAATATCTATTCTTGTTATCTCTTTCTTCCTTTTTTGTATTATTTTTATACATGTTACTCTTTTTGTATTATTGTAATGTAAACCCTTAATTTTCGACACTGATATGAACTAATGTGTTGCAGGTGCCGTAAAATAAACTTTAAACTAAAACTGGACGTGTTTACATGTTAATGAATGTGTGTGGGTGGTTGGCGGGTGCTGTGATGTCCTTTTTTTGTGTGTGTTACTTTCTTGTAAACGTCTCTAATCTTCGGCACTTATATGAACTTGTATTGTGTTGCTAGGACGTAAAACTTTTACCCCCCCCCCTGGGGGGGGGGGGCAGTGCCAATGACTGTAGTGTCTTTAGGCCTTTCCCAAAGGGGGGACATTTCTCGTTCAAGCTCAGTAGAATTGTAAATGGGCTGATTCATCATGTCACGCTCATAACTGTGCCTGATCTGCAACAGGGAACTGCTGCTTTTTCTTTCCTAATCCTTACTATTGTCATTTTCCTCTACTTCTTTTGTATGTTTGTCACTCTTGTGACCTTCTATTTCCGGGGTGCCTTGATGGTCGAAGTGGGTGGTTGGCGGGTGCTCTGGTGTGGTTTGCTCCTTCTTTCCTATTAAACATATATCGTCCTTATCTCCCCTTCTTCTTTTTTATGTTTGTTACTCTCTTGTGACACCTCTAATCTTCTGGCGCTCATTTGACCTTATGCAGTTGCGAGCGCCGTAAAACCTCTACTAAACCTTGATGGTCGAAGCAGACTCTGTGCTGTTGAAGCTAGAGAGGTGAGCAGAGTAAGTCTGATTCCTTGTAAGTACTTCTCTGTTGACACCCGCACCTTGGCGCTCATATGACCGTATGCAGTTGCGAGCGCCGTAAAACCCTCTACTATTAAAAAAAATTAAAAACTTTTACTAAAGTTAAACTTACTCAGACAAAACAAACTTTTTAATCTTTGAAAGACGGATTTTAAAAAAATTTCCTCCGCGATTTCGAATGCCGATTTTTAATATGTTATTACACGCAATTTTAACTGTCGGACCATGTAATTTTCATTTTTGTTGCAATTTTGTAGGGTCTACCCTTATCTTTCTTCCACTAGATATGGACATATTTGTTTTGCATGTGCCGTAACACTGTTACTAAAACTAAGCTTACTCAAACAAAACAAACTTTTAAATCTTTGATAGACGGGGATATGAACATACGTTTGTTGCATCTCTGCCGCAAAGCTCTTACTAAAACTGAACTTACTCAAACAAAACAAGTAAACTTTTTCAATCTTAGAAACACGGATGTAGTATAATATGAAACTTTGTGTTGCAAGTGCCGCAAAACGCTTACTAAAACTGAAGCTGAACGGAAAACTATCAGAGCCGCACACTTTCACGAGAAAAACAAACTATCAGAGCCGCGCACTTTCACGAAAAAAAACCCCCAAAAACTATCAGAGCCGCGCACTTTCACGAAAAAACAACAACCAAAAAACTATCAGACCCGCGCACTTTCACGAAAATAACAAACAAAAAACTATCAGAGCCGCGCACTTTCACGAAAAAAATCAAACTATCAGAGCCGCGCACTTTCACGAGAAACCCCCCCCCACAAAACTATCAGAACCGCGCACTTTCACGAAAAAAGCAAACTATCTGAACCCCTCACTTTCACGAAAAAAAACCTATCAGAACCGCGCACTTTCAAGAAAAAACTTATCGGAGCCGAGCACTTTTTGACAATGTCGAAACAATTAAATTGCCGATTCCACCCAACGACCAAATTCCCCTTGACACAATTAATCTGTACGGCCCCCATCTAAATATATTCTTCGTCTTTCTGCCAGACGTTTGATAAAGCGGTTTCCAGACCATTTTAAAGCTGAAACTAAAAACACAGACCAAACAGATAGGCACTACCAAGACAGAAGGGAGAATGTGTAACAAGCAATATACGCAGATGGGCAAGTCTCACTACTTCAATTTTTATCCTGAAAGAGCAAGAAAATGCTGCCCCTGTCCTGTAGATATGTTTTTATCCACGAAAAGCCTGTTCTTTCAATGCAAAATCTTGATTATTTTGGTATCTGGTCCCACGCCCAGTAATACGCTGGGCGAACGTAAATTCTTGGATGGTACTGTTTTGGTAATCGGCAGTCTAATTGTATTAATAACATTTTAAAAAAGGGCGCGGCTTTGACTGTTTTTTTCTCGAAAGTGCGCGGCTCTGATGTCCTCTCAGGTGAACATGTCTTTATTATACTTATACAACAAATAAAATGTTAATTCGATGTTTGTCCCGGCAGACTGCACGTGCTGTGCCAAGAAGGTAAGCAGTTGGCCGACATCCCGGCCGAAGTGGGCTACCTGAGTGAGCTCACTTCAACGTCCTTCTTTTAAAAAAAAAAAAAAAAAAATTTATTTGTTTATTTATGTTTAAAATTGTCTTGTGTCCAGCCTATAGTCTTTGGCACCTATATGATCTCTTTGTGTTGCGTGAGCCGTTATGTAAAACTCTTTCTAAACATATCCAACATCTATGGTCCGTATAATCTCTCTTTCACTTTTCTTTGTTGTATGTTACTTTTTTAAAATCTTCGACACTGATATGAATCTCTCTCTCTCTCTCTCTCTCTCTCTCTCTCTCTCTCTCTCTCTCTCTCTCTCTCTCTCTTTTTTTTCTGTGGGTGGTTTGCGGATGTTCTGGTGTGGTTTGCTCCTTCTTTCCTATAAAACATCTATTGTCTTTATCTCCCATCCTTTTTGTGTGTGTGTGTTTGTCTCTGCCTTCTAACACCTCTAATCTTCGGCACTTATATATGACCTTATTGTACTGCAAGGGCCGTAAAACTCTAAAACGGAAAAAAATGCGAGACTATTCGGAATAAGATGACAATTCTCTCCTTCTTTTTTGTGGTTTAGTTTAGTTTTAGTAGAGGTTTTACGGCGCTCGCAACTGCATAAGGCATAAGGTCATATGAGCGCCAAAAGATTAGAGGTGTTACAAGAGAGTAACAAACATAAAAAAGAAGAAGGGGAGATAAGGAAGATAGACTTTTGATAGGAAAGAAGAGGCAAACCGCACCAGAGCACCCGCCAACCACCCACCTTTTTTGTGTTTGTAACTCTCTTGTAACGCCTCAAATCTTCGGCACTTCTCTACCCCAGAATTAATTACAGTGTTCAGTTCCTAATAACGAGAAATTTGAAAAATTCTTGGCGCTCTCGTGGCCTAGAGGTTAAGGTGTTCGCCTCTAATTCAAAGGTTCCAGGTTCGAAACAGGGTACCGACAGAAAAAAATTTCTTCTCTCAACTTGTCTCCCTCCACCTCCTTTCTTGCTCTCAAGCAATGTTCTGTCGTCTGCTTTCGTCTCCACTTTCTGCCCCCACCCCTTCGCCTCCTTTGCCCCCCTCCTCTGGGATCCTGGCTCTTTCTGCAGCCTTTCTACTGATACTTTTTGGCCCCTTCTTGCTGCTGTCTTTCAGCCACACCCCGATCTTCTGGTAGGAAAGATCTACACCTAGCCTTCTTGGACAAGGGCGAAAAATCTCGGAGGGCCCGTGTGCAAGTTGCACACTTTAAAGATCCCTTGGTGGTCTCAAATCGATAAGAGTAGGCTTCGACCGCCACCCGGGCAGATTTCAAAATGTCCTACCAACTGAGAATGTTAAATGTGTCCTTCGCGATATGACCTGATGCAGTTGCGAGCGCCATCGAACACTTACCAAAAAATTGTTTTTAAAAATGAAAAATTGTGTTGCAAGTGCTGTAAAAATCTATAAATAAAGAAACATGATACTATGTATCCTTACAGACTGCACGTGCTGTACCTAGGAGGTAACCAGTTGGCCGAGATCCCGGCGGAGGTGGGCTACCTGAGCGAGCTGACGTCACTGGTGCTGTGCGACAACCAGCTGCAGAGCCTGCCGCCCACGCTGCTCAACCTGAGCAAGCTGCGGAGCCTGAGCCTGCACAACAACAAGCTCAGCACTCTGCCCACCGAGATCGTGGCCTTGAACTTGGTGGAGCTGAGCTTGCGGAATAACCCGCTGGTCAACCGCTTCGTGCAGGTCAGTTCCGTGGCCTTCTGTGGTGTTGTTGTTGGTGGTGGTGGTGGTTCCTTCATGAGAATTGGGTTTGGTTTGATCGTTGTCTCCTTTTCTTTCCTTTTTTTCGTTCTTCTTTCCTTCCTTCCTTCTTTCCTTCCTTCCTTCTTTCCTTCCTTCCTTCCTTCCTTCCTTCCTTCCTTCCTTCCTTCCTTCCTC